ATATATATATATAATTTAAACCCAATATTGTTTATTTAAATCAGGTAAATAATATTTGATTTAAATAAAGAAAATTTAAATTTAAATAAATATATTAATGGCACTCATCAAAGAAATATTTGTTGATTTTAAGATAATTTTTTTCTCAGTGTAGCAAACGTGTTAAGTAGAATTGAAAAATTGAAGTAAATAAAAATACCAATGCCCGGACGTGTATTAAATCCTGGGCATTCTTATTGTTCTGACCTTTAAATACGAATATTTAAATATTTAACTTAAAATATATACACGTATACTGAATACACACATATATTTTATATTGAAAATTTAAATATTTGTATATTTAGATATTTGTATTTAAAGACTGAAACACAGTATGAGAATGTCCAAGATTAAGCATGTTCAAGAATTGATACTTTTATCTTACGTGGCGTTGATAGCAAACATATTAAGCCAAATTGAAATATTGGATAAACATGTCAATGTCCGAACACGTACTTAATCCTGGACATTTTTATTGTTTTGGTCTTTAAATATAAATACTTAAATGTTCAACATTAAATATATATGCATATATTGAATATATATGCATATATTTTATATTGAAGGTTTGGATTAAATACAAGTGTATTTAAAGACCAAAACAATATCCAAAGAATATCCAAAACGAGGTATGTATCCGGAAGTTGATATTTTTTCTTAAATATGAGTTTGAAATGAAAGATCGATGCGTCACACTTGTGTGACGCTGGTAGCAAATGTGTTAAATTCGAACAAACTTTACATTCTCCAAATTCAAAATTTAAATATTTAATGTTAATCCTGATAGTGATACACGCTGATTTTACTTATTGGCTGTATATTATAAAAAAAATTGATTTAAACTTTATATAAATCACTTATCGTAAGTTGTAATGGTTCCCTTTTTGGTGTTACTTTCAATGTAAACTTTCAAAGCAAACCATTAAAATAGTTTCCGAGTATAATTTTGGAGGAGTTCTTGTAAGTTAGAGTGAAATTTACATCAATACGTCCGGGAGGCGCTTGGAGTTACTGTCAGGATTAAATACTGCAAAGTTGCAATAGAAAACAAAATAATGATCTCTGACACTTTTCCGAGAGGACAATCAAATTCAGAGGACTCGTTTTTAAAAATCAAGCATCGATGTGTGGCGGATTACGTTATCAACGCGGCGCTGCAGAAAGTTCGGAACGAGATTCGCGAGATGAATTCTGCCGGTCTATCGTTTTCATAATCTAGTTGATTCCCTATCTGCGAGCACAAAGAAATTCCGCCATAGAACGTTTCTCATCGAACCGCGTTGTAAGTGCATATTCCGGAGCGGTTGATCCCCTTTTCGCGGAGAGCGAGGTAAAGAGGTGGTCAGTTTAGCCTTGGGCAGCCTTACCTAGGACCGCTTGCTGGGGCGCCCACTTCACAAATTTGATGTTGGCTGGATGAATGGCCATGTTCCCGCCGTGTTTCCATAGAACTCTTTGCTTGAGCGAGCTCAGGGCGTTGCACAATGCGGTCAAAGGGCCGGCGGGTAGCTGGTGAGTTTGCAAATTCGAGCCCAGAGAGAAATAAATGGCGCCATCCTGAGCGTCGTCCAGGAACTTCCGGATTTCCTGGGATGAGGACAAAAATTTCGATGCGTCTTAATGAGCGAGATACAGCGAATGGACGCGACGGTATCGACGGCATTCATTTCGGTATCGATATCGAGTCTAACACGTAAGTTGGTTTGGACAAAGCACTAATTATTCTTATGAACGTGGGATATGAAGCTTCACAGGGGTAAGGGAAAATATCCGCCGCGACCATCCCAGTTAATCAAAATTAGCAGATACAGGGTGAGTCAGATAAAAAATTCACTTCAAATATTTCCATTATCTCAAACAATATAGCAAAATAGTGCCTACAAAGGTTTTATAGTTTTGAAAAAGATGTAATGTGGTAATAATTATTCTCTGGTGAGTGGAAGTATGTAGGAAATTTAAATTTGTTTAATCGAGTCATTTTTCTAACGTAAATAAATTCTTCAGATTATATACAAAAGTACTGAGGTAAAATGATTGAAAATTCAATATTTCTTTAGGTATTTTTGATTTTATTTTGATACTTTTCAGTACACACAAGATATAAAATATTTCGTAAACTTAATTTCTCTCGATAACTTCATCGAAATAACTTTATAGAAAGTTCGAGATAACGAAGAGAAATCGATCAATGATATTAGTTTTTGGATACTGCATCAATAAATCTGCAAAATGCGATAGAATTTTGTTTAAAACTTCATGTTTTTTTTCAATTTCAATTCAACAATAATCAATTTCACTCATAATTTTATATATAGAAATATCGAAAAGTAAATAGTTTGAGATATTTCATATCCTTTTTTTAATTGAAAAGTATCAGAATAAAATGAAAAATATCTCGGGAAGTATTCAATTTTCAATAATTTTACTTCGGTACTTTGATATGGAGAATGATTCGAGGAATTTAGAGAAATCTTATAATTTTGTTAAAAAAAATTTGAGGTGATCTTGAAATCTCCTACATACTTTTACTTACAAAAAAAAATAATTGTCACTACGTTACGTCTTCTTCGAAACCATAAAACTTTTGTAGGCACAATTTTTTTGTAGTTCAAAATACTGAAGATATTTAACGTGAACTTTTTATCAGACTCACTCTGTATGTAACACACGATAATGTAGACTCAGATATATTTTCATGTCGTGCGCAGTCGTGCGGCGTGATTTTAACTGAGGCATTGCTGTGTTTTGAGATTGTGTTCTGTAAACAAAAATAATGTCTGCGGTAAAGTGTTCCATTTTCTTCTACAATATGCCTGATTGTTATGCGAAGCGTTGCAAGAATAGAGAAACCGCAAGAAGAAAAGAAAAAATAAGATACAACTAGAAAATAAAAATAATCCTATGTCGCCATCTTGGTTGGTCGTATCCGTTACAATCCTCTTTCTCTTGAAGTTTCAATCGCGCGGAAATATGCTCCGTCCAGATATTCCTACGTCCATGGTGTCCAATGCCGAGTCGACACGAGTCATCGTCGAAAAAGCTCGGGAAAATACACCTCTCGCTGTATTTCGCGCTCGAATTGTATCGGCGGCGTCGTTAACCTTTCATCGGGGTTTCCCAGTCGCTCTATTCGGTCGTCATCGTTCGCCGATATTTAGAGACAAGGGAATCTACCGTATGTATGTGTGTGCGTGTGTGTGTGTGTGGGTGCGCGCGTGTGTGTATATGTATGTGAAGCACAGCTTATATTTCTCACTCGCCAATTAATCGTGTCTACATTTCGCTGTCATTACGATAATCGAGGGACGCGGTCGCGAGCGTGCTATTTTACCCCGCGAAATGATTTTCGAAAATATACACGTGCCAGGATATTCGCTCGCGGATTTCCTTCGTGGCAAATTTTTTTTTGACGTTGAAACGCACGTAATTTCACGTCGAAATATTATTTGCTCGTTACCGTTTTATGAAGTATGTCTATCTGCGAAGTGTCTCCCGTGCATTCGCAAGGATTGCGTTAGCAAGTGCTACGGTAGGACGCAAATGGAACCGATTGTGCTATTAATGCGACTGATATTACTGATAATACAACTTCCTTTGTTAATTGCGGAGCCTGTGTCGGCTTTTATGGAAGACACGGCAACGGTGCCTCCATATGCACAATGTGTAGCCAAAGGCTTTGTCCTATTAATTACAACCTCTCATGGATTTCGATACGTTCTCCGTGTACGTGTATAAAGACGAACACACTGTCGCGGTCACGTTCTGCATCTCGGCATCGTTCGGGATCACGTGGTAACTGCAGTTACCTTTTGTCGTGCATTGTCTTCGCAATAATCAGACAGTTTCAATTCTAATGCGACTAAAAGGTTGTGAAATACGAATTGGCTTATTTTTCTCATGCGTTCTAATGCGAACTATTATTCCTTTTTTTGATACTTATGAATTATTCAATTCTTGCGTAATTCCCGATTAAATAAATTGTTAACACATAGTTGACGTTTTATTTGCAAGTAAATGAATCTGTTTCCTATTGCTGAACTAGGGTACACTTTTGGAACTTAAAAAGAGACAAATATACAGATAAAATTTGGTGGAGGAAAGATAGGAGAGAACTAGTGCAGTTAGTTCAGCAATAGAAAACAGACTCAACATTACTTGTTTCAAATACTCCACCTGTTTATATATCAGTAAATCTATATACTGAGAAAAAATACTTAAAAATTTATTCGTAGGATATAAAGCTGGTTTGTATGAGAATGAACTTTATATCCTACAAATTTTCAAGTAATTTTTCTCAGTATAAGTTCATCATAAGCATCAAATCTATTCGAAATGCATATGGAATCTTAATAAGTTTAGTACTTCAGTCAAGAATATTAAATTGAAAAAACATACGGTTTCGCTTACACCATAGAATGGAGTAAAATTTTTCTTTCGATAAAGTTTTATGATATTCACGTAAGAAGAATAAATTCTTCATTATTCGGTAATGAATTTTTCTAAAATTTGTGATGAGTACATTTTAATATGGAGAAAAAAATTTGGTTGTATTGACATGAAGTTTGATTGTGATGAACGAACCAACGCTTTTGAATTGAAGGAGACGGAATTTCTGGTTCTTAGAACTACACAAATGTAGATCATTAGAACCACAGATATTTTGTCTCTTTTAATGAAAACATGTTGGTTTGTTCATTAAAACCAAACTCCACGTTGATACAACCAAATTACTTTCTCTGTGAAGATTATTATCAAGAAAATATTTTTTGTTAAAGATCACCATTACTCAAAAGAAGGAAAGTAAATTGAGGAAAATAATCGCTTCTCTTGACAATAAAATGATATTTTTTTGTGTGTACTTTTAGTTCCATCTTAGATTGGAAAAAGAACGGGTTCTAATCAGTCGAGTAATTATCCACTGTTCGATGAATCCATAAATCGATACAACTGGTAGCGAATTTATTGTAGGAACAAACTTTTACGCCAATACATTCCCACATGGAAAAAAAGGTTTGGTTGAATTAATCAAGTATCTGGTTGAATATGAACGATCCAAAAATTCCGATTGAAAAACCCGAATTCTATTTAAGTCGATCAAACATCTTGTTAACTTAAATAGAATTCAGGTTACTTCAATCGGAATTTCTGGATCGTTCATAATCGACCAGATATTTGGTTAATTCAACCAAACCTTTTTTCCGTGCAGGTTGTCCAGATGGACACAAACGGTTGACGCTATTATGCCATTAGAGGCGATCTCGCGGTTATTTTTTCTACGGGAAGGATCTTCGGCGAAATACTCTTCCGATAATATTTTCCCTATCGGCCCTCAGGAGGCTTACAACGGTTCGCGGTAAATAGCAATGACGTTTACCTTTACGTCGCTGGCGCTGAGTCGTCGACAAACTTCTACCGACTGACTATTGCTGGCTAGCTGCGAGGATAGTACGTATTTTCCCGGGAGAAATCATTCTCGCGCGACACACAATTTAGCCGTTTCCGAGATGTACTCGAGAACTGCGAAAAACGAAGGTTTAATTGACACGATTAATAGTAACTCCTTCTATAAAATGGGAGATATTAAATGTCGGTGTACCCCTAACTCGATAAATTGCTCAACTTCACTTTATACCTCTGTAATCCATTCTCCCTGTAAATGAGCGATTAAAAGTGGCCCGAAGTGAGTGAGCATAGTAATATACAGGAGGGAGGAGGGGGAAGGGTAACTGTTAATATAAGCTGTGCCCACAGTTTTGCATTTGAAATATTGTAAGATGAGATTATATCGCGCCACTATAGACTACGACTTTATGCCGCGTTAATTAAATTCCGCGCTATTACTTAATATCCAGCAAAGTCATATAATTATTAACTGCAGCCTCGTTAGTTTCGTGTGAATGAGTGTAAAATCTTGTTTCTTTTTTTCGCAGTGTCGCGACACCGTTTGTGCATTTCCCTCTCTTTGGTTTGCGATATAATCTTGTCTCTTTTCTTTCATAGATACGCTATATATTTTTACCTCAGGCAGGGAATCGGGATTTTCCGTTATTTGCAAGCTGTGAACCTCGATCACGTGCGGCAGTAATGGTTTCGGATAGCCGAACACGTGATTGTTTCCCAGAATCACTAGACTGAAGTTCTTATCGATGTCATAGACGGATGTACCGGGCGTCCATTCGTTAGCGATGCGTTGAGCCCGTGGCAGGTGCCAATATCGATAATACAATCTTGTCCACGTGGTGTAAAGGCTATTCCGTATACGCTCGTTCAGTGTCATTCTGTCCGTGAATGGATACGCCATGTCTGGATTCATATTGGGGTCGTCCGGGTTTCCTGCCAACCAGTGATAATTGTGATGTAAGTTGCGTGATTTGTGACTTAGTATTATCACGGCAGAAGTATTTTACTATACGACTCGATTCTCGAAGTTGCTTCGCACAACCATTCTCTCGCTTCTCGCTTGTGTCCGGGACGAATCGATGGATGAATAAAGGTACGTGTTATTGCGCGGTGAGCTTCTTGCCAAATCCAGAAATAGGAGCTCGACGTGTCGCGTGCGCGCGGATCGGATATCTATTTTTCGAAAACCCCACTCGGGTGATTGGGTCGGATCAACGTGGAGAAAGTTACCGCTCTCGGTGCGCGTCCGCTTTCTCAAAACTCGCCCAGGCTTTAATTGAAATATTTCACTAGCAGCCGCAGCGATCCATTTCACGGTCTATTACGTTCATCCGGAAAGAGTACTTTCGGGTATCTTCAATTACGTCGAGGTAAAGGAATCGAATGGCGGCTAGCTGTGGCGCGTCCCTCGCCACCTCTTCCCCCGCCGCTCATCGGGTCAGACCGGTACAAGTTAAAGCACTACCGAGTAATCTATCCTTTTCCACGAAGACCTGGTCTCCGATTGCTCGCACTTTCTGCTTTGCCGACAATTTACGTCAATTTCCGCGCGCGGTAACGACGTTCGCCCGGTGCCACTCGGGGGTGCGAGCCCTCGCTAGAAAAAGACGTCGCGGAACGACCGCCCGACCAGGGTCGTACACCGCTGCCGTAGTTACCACTCTGGGTGACTTTTGCAAACTAATAAAATTCCCGTAGGCCGATGCGAAATCGCGCCGACCTCCTCCGTCCCCGTCACCGCCTCTGCCGTCTCGTTGCCGACGTGCTTACCCACGGAATCCATTACATAGGGCAGGTTGCCTACGCTCAAAAATCCCATCAGCACCGGGAAGTTGTAGTGCTTTACGAGAGCGTAATAACACTGGTACCATAATTGCTCTATAATGATCGCATGGAATGTCTCGTTGGCCCTGCAAACAGACGCGAACTGAAGACGAGATTTGTTTTAACGGTACAGAGTTCGTATAGGGCTATTAAAGTCGTCACGATTCTACTGTGCGTGTATTAACGTTGTGCGCGCGCGCGCGCGACGGAAATGCTTTTGTGGACGTGTTTCGCGTGACCGATGTGCTCCGATTTACTTAGTCTCGCGAGCAGATTTACGAATACTTCGCGTACAGTCGTGGATTTACGAGTTTTAATGAGAATAGCCAAGTGACGTTTGTATTACGCTATAAGATCGCCGATAGCGGGACTGAATAATTGTTTCTCGCACAATTTGTTCGCCTCCTGCATGTTCTTATGGAGTATCGCGTAGGCCCCCATGTGTCTGTTCAAAAGAAAAGTTGAAGATTATTAGTAATTTCTTCCGGATTTTTTAGGATCGAGGGAATCACATATATGTTGTATAGCGATTTGTGCACGGAATGTGAAATATAGGTGGTGCGTTCATACCTCAATCCTGTGCAATCGTTCTTCTGATACGAAAACGACAAGTCTATGTTCCTGTAATTGGGTGGAGGATTCTAGGGAGTAAGAAAAATCGAAAATATCAGTTACGTGTAGAAAATCTAATATTACTTGATATCATAGAAACAATATTTTTACATTGCGTTATAATAGCTGTTTCAATTCATTTCAAAACGAGGACAAATATAATGGGAGTTGATGAGACAAAGCTGCATCAATTTCAGATCTTGTAAAGGACGAGTTAATGTAAAACGGATATTTTTTTAAAATCTGCCAACGAATGTTGCACGTCCACGGAAAAAAGCAATAAAGTGCCAGTTCGTGGCAGTTCGTGTCCGAGGCAATTATGCTTTCGTTAGTTAGGTTTTATCCAGTTTACGTGAACAATTTAATGCCTAATTTTGCAGCGAAAGAAACAAGACCATCAAGCCGTGCGAAGACACATTCAGCAAAGAGAAATGTTAGTAGAAGTAAATTGAAGCTAAACGAAGTTTGCGTAACTTTGAACTCGAGTTTAGAGAGACAGAGAGAGAAGGATATATATATATATATATATATATATATATATACTATATACATATATACATACACATATATATAGGGAGCGAGGGGGGAGGAGAGAGAGAGAGAGAGAGAGAGAGAGGGGATAAATATGAGAAAGGGTAAAGAGTGAAATGTCAGTGGCACGATCAGAGAGGAACTGAGAGAAGAATGTCATAGAAAAAGCGAGTAAATGTAGAAAGTGGACTGTGATGGAAAGTAAAAAAGTGGAAAAAGGCATCGAGTAAATAAAATATCCATCTATCAATCTACAGTATTTTCGGAACATTTTCTCATCGTCTGATTGTAAAATTTATTTCGAGTAATTAGTCCGGTCTGAGCGAAAAATCGAGTAAAACGTCGCGCGTGAGTCCAGCTGTAACGTTTCGATTTGGCCGCGTAAATGCCACGTTGACGTTTACCGTCGATAAACTACCAGTGGATACGCGCTTAAGGGGATGCTGAAGTGAATGACGAACTCGCTAAGCGTCGATAACGTAGAGGCGATCGTCAAATAGGCGCTGACATAATGCCGCTATTTTCTTTTTTTCATGTATGCATCACTTCTACATATAGATATATGAATGCAAGTGTGTGTGCTACGTTGTCATTTCAATTTTCTTACACATAGACGTTACGTAAATGTGAATGCCACGTTGCCGATATTCGCATTCTTTTCGAAATAGGCTTTCGCTGCTTTTCTGATGAATTCTTCAAACCGCCTACTGTGTATTGGGTGAATCAAAGAAAGAGTTTTTTTAGAGAAGTTCTACGCATAAATGCAGTTTACGAATATTGTTTTGAAGAATATGTTATCTAATATGTGAGCTTTCTATATAATTTGCAATGGAAATTTTAGATATTATTTTAGTTATGCACTGAGCAATGTTTCACTATATTCTCGCACGTAATTTTATCTTATAAATTGGAGCAATAAGTGCGCTATAATTTTTGCAAAAGAAAATCAGAGTCACGATGGCAAAAGTTCCACATCGTTTTCATTTCTGAGTGAGAAATGATCTACTTCATTTTTGCATGTATTTTCACCATACAAAAGCATTTTAATTCGGTCAAGTCAATACAAAGTAATATTTGTAGGAAAATTTCGTTGACGCGATATCAACACCCTTGCAAAACTTTCGTATTAAATGATTGTATTAAATCAAAAACCTTTTGACATGGTGAAAATACGTGCAAAAATAAAGCGGAGCATTCCTCAATATGAGAGAAAAACGATAAGAAAATGCTATCATAACAAAATTACCGAATTCTTCTGCAAAGATTACTTCTTTCTATATGCGCTGAGTTAAAAATCCTTTTACATGATGAAAGTATGTGCGTAAATGAAACGGAACGTTCCTCAATATGAAAGGAAAACGATAAGGAATGATTACTATCATGTCACCGAATCTTTCTATAAAGATTAGTCTTTTCTACATGCGCCGAGTTAAAAACCTTTTTGCATGAAAGTACGTGCGAAAATGAAGTGGGGCATTCCTCAATATGAGAAGAAAACAATAAGAGACAGTTACTATCATGACACTGAATCTTTCTGCAAAGATTAGTTCTCTCTACATGCGTATTGACTTGATCGAATTAAAAATGCTTTTGTATGGTGAAGGTACATACAAAAATGAAATAGAGCATTCCTCACTCAGGGATGAAAATGATGTAGAACTATTGCTATCGTGACACTGATTTCCTTTTGCAAAAATTACAGCGCAATTACTGCTCCAATTTATATAATAAAATTGGATGCGAATATATAGTGAAATATTGAATTTTAATTTCCATTGAAAATTATATAGAAAGCTCACATATTAGATAACATGTATTCTTCAAAACAATATTCGTAAATTACTCTAATGCGTATAACATATTTCTCGAAAAAACTCTTTCTTTGATGCACCCACACTGAGAGAAAAACGTATGATATTTGAAACTATAATGGCATAGTAAAAAGATTATAGTTAGGAATATAATTTTTATAGTAAATGTTACCATAATATTTGTAATATTTACAATATAAGCATAGTATAACTGACCCGTGTAAAATTTTTACCAAGAATTAAAATTATTTGAAATAAAAAATATAGTAATAAAGTGGCAAATATTGAATGGTAAGAGAAATTAACTATTTTATACAGTCAATGCAATTGGAATATTTGGCAAATATAGGTACACATAATTATATTCCCAAAAGGTTTATCATATATATAGAATAATAAAATGGTGATTATAAATCTGTGTTCATTCTACTATATCTTCGTGTTTAGATAAACTATAAATATATGTTTGAGGCCAAAACGAACTATAAAATATAGTGAGATTATAGTTATTCCAATTATTTTTTTCTCTCAGTGCAGTACATAAGCGGTTTGAAGAATTCATCAGAAAAGCAGCGAAAGGCTCTCTTGGAGAGAATATGAATATCGGCCACGTGATATTCACATTTACGTACCGTCTATATGTAAGAAAATTGAAATGACAACGTAGCACACATACTTGCATAACATCTGTGAAAGAACGATATATGAAAAAATACTGCGGCGCAACAGTAGCGCGAACATGTTCATGCTTATCAAATGTGACATTTTGACGATCGTCTTCGTTCCGTATAGATGTATATATATAGCTAGCTCAAGATGCAGCGCTTTCTTCCAGGACATGCGTGAACTAAAAATCAAGTCTTCTTTACCACGTAACCATTAAACGCTAGCACACATATTGCTTATTACTGGAATTCTCTTTTTATTTAAATTATCTATTAAAATTCACTTACGATGTCTTCATAATGTTCCTGAAAGTCTTCTCTATGCCGCATACTATGTATTTGAAGCGTATGAGCTCTAAATTTGTCACATGAAACTAAATATGACACCTACATCGCATTTTCAATAGTAAATACAAAATTTTTTGTTGATTTCGATGCAACTTTTTAGTATGTGGCATTCATTATCGCTTATACTTTCACGCTGTAAAAGCATTTGCAGTTTTATGCATGCAATTAGAAGAAAAGAGTATTATACGAAAACGAACCTAGCAGCATCGCTTTAAAGTTGCAAAGTTTATCGAGACCTGGAAATAACCGCGAACTCGCGAGAATGTTGCGACACCCCGATTCTTCGGCGAGCACAATGCAGCTTTGTCGGTGACAATTTTCGTAAGCGGGCGATAAGCGGACGCTGAATCACGCTGGTGTTCGGGCGGGCGATAAAGACTTTTTACAATATCTCTCTCGCGAGTTTCGAATAAAAATCGCGAGTAAAAATGCTGATGTCTTCGCGTGTCATACGTCACGCTGATCGACGTAACTTTAAATTCCATATGACACAATTCGCACTCGTTTTCCACTCAACATAAAACTTTAAAGTTCACCGTGTGTGAAGTGTTTCCAAAACTTCTTGTTATACCGAGTTGAAATTTTCCTATTTTCGACTTCAATATCTTATTTAACGTGTACTTTGATACTCTGAAATCTGACATTATATCAATTTGATACTATTGATACCGTATCTAAGTATTAGTTTTGCCAAAAGAATCTAAAAGTATGTTTTCTGCCATTTAAAGATGTTAGACAGGACTTCAATTTTCATACATATTACATTAAAAAAAATGTGATCTTATTTTTAGAGGAAATTTTGTTATATGGTCTCACAAGAGAATTCTTCCATAAAACTAAAAGGAAAATGTTCTAACTACAATATTCTTAAAATTAAAGGAAATTCGTCTTTTATCTGCAGTACAAGTCTTGTTCTTAACGTGAAAAAATAATGAGGAAACGTAGGTTGGAAAAGAAAGTTACATGTAACGTTAATTTTACGGTTATTTATCGATTGTTAGAACAGAAGAAAAGGATTCGAAGTATTTTAGAGCTTCATCAATTAAGAATTCTGCAGGAAGTAACCAAGAAAATTAATAAAAATATCTCCTAATAAGCTTCAAATAAAGTGAACAAGTTAAACAATATTCCTCTTAGTACAAAGGAAAAAATTTTAAGTATAATATTTAATAGATCGCCGATTAATATAATAGTTTTACTTCATTAATAAAAGAATACTCTTTTATTAAGAATTTCTGCTTATGAGATTACAGGAAACAGTACTTCTTGTGACCAGAATTCTATTGGTTTTGGATGTTAGAATATTTTCCTTTGAGGATCTTCTCTAGAGGCCATGTACAGGTTGAGTCAGTAATTATTACCACTTGGAATATTTTTGAAGCAAAAAATGAAAATGACTTTTAGATCTTCTACTTACAAGTAAACCTACCCAAAGGTTACACTCCAATTTCTTTTTAATTTGACACAAATGTAGAAATACAAAAAATATTTAGGTCATATTTTTTCATTTTGGCCCACTTTGATTTTCAGGGGTAGTTTATAGCTTTTTATTGTTCTCACTTCTATCATCAGTGCAAGAAAAATGCATAAGAAATAAAATTGAATACAAGATATAGGCGTTTTTGGTTTGCTAATTATGAATATGAGATTAAATATTAATTAAATTAAAATTATTTATATAAATAATAAAATGTTTAAACAAAACATGTAAAAAGTTAAAAAAAGATCGGTTTTGCCGAAATTCGAACCATTTTTGACTAATTTAGCACAGATTTAAAATATTTCGGTTGGAATCTCGGCTAAAGAAATTTAAAATAGTTGGTGTCTCAGTTATGCCTATTTAAAATTTTAATAAAAATTGCCGGATTTCTCTCTCTCTCGGTTTGGCCGAGATTCGAACCATTTTTGACTAATTTAGCACAGATTTAAAATATTTCGGTTGGAATCTCGGCTAAAGAAATTTAAAATAGTTGGTGTCTCAGTTATGCCTATTTAAAATTTTAATAAAAATTGCCGGATTTCTCTCTCTCTCTCTCGGTTTGGCCGAGATTCGAACCATTTTTGACTATATTAGCACAGATTTAAAATATTTCGGTTGGAATCTCGGCTAATGAAATTTAGTGATTCGTGTCTCAGTTATGACGATTTTATTAAAATTATTTAACTATATCTTGTATTCAATTTTATTTATTATGCATTTTAGTTGCACTTGTTGATGATAAGAGTGAGAACATTAAAAAGTTATAAACTGCCCGTGAAACTCAAAGTGGACCAAATGAAAAAATATGATTTTTTGTACTTTTACATTTATGCCAAATTAGAAAGAAATCAAACCTTTTAGAAACCTAGAAAAAAGCGTTATCACTATAAGATGTATATTTTTTAAGTAGAGTAATTTCATAGATCTAAAAATCAACTTTGTTCTTGGCTTCAAAGATATTCTAGGTAACAGTAGTTACTAACTAGACTAACTAGACTAATTTAGTGTAAGAAAGTTTCGCTAAGAATTATATTTTGTTTATATATTTAGCGTATGTTAATATTAACGTATAACGTAAGTTATATTTTTAACGTACACACACACTGAACTTTTAGAATACACAAATGTTAGGAAGTTCAGGTCGAAAATAGAGCTAAAACTTCGAGTCTGGACTCCTCGTCCGCGTGATACTTTTTATGCATGGCCGTGAATGTAAGGCTGAGAGAGAGACGTGGATGTATTACGACAGGTACCGTAAATATAAAACGTTAGTGAACGAAAGGAGGAAGCGGAGATCGACGTACCTTTAAGGGAATCGTTGATACGACGGTAACGCTGTGGCCACGGGCCGCCAATGCTCTCATCAATGCTTGAAAGGGCTGTTGGTGGCTGTAACTTGCGCTCGGACAAATACCCAGTATGTTATATCCGCTGTTGTGTTGGGGAGCGCAGAATAGTGAAACTGATAGCAATACGAGCGTCACGGCGAGCATTTTGGTACAGAACACTTTCGTTTCGTGGACGCGAAACGGCCGTTCAATCTTTCAAGGAAAGAATCGAGGCTACCGGCCCCTCGTAGGAATTTTTAAAAAGAACTCGGAAAGCGACGGAAAAAAGGCGAGGCAGTCCGTATGAAGAATTCAATACATGTTCCACGATCAGTTTGCTTGGGGCTACGATAAATAAGTGAACGGCTTGTCCATTGGTCGGGTGCTTCTCACTCAGCTTTGCGAGAGAAATAATGCAGGCCTCGTGTGTGTGTGTGTGTGTGTGTGTGTGTGTGTGTGTGTATGTGTAGGCGCGCGTTATTTTTATATTTCGCCGAGAATACAAAGGCGGTATTTATCCATAAGGCAGTGTCTATCGACAAATTCATTTCGTTATCACTCAATGAGGGCACTAGTAATCGTATGTCGCGTCCTCGCGTCGTTCTCCGTCGTCAACAAACAGTGGTAGGCGTTGTCGGGAGATGTTCGCGAATTCGTGATCGTCAGAGCGCGTTCATAGAAAACGATGAAGCGGAAGCTAAAGATACGTGATACGACATTCGGCACATCGTCAAAGTGACCAATTTCAATAATGGAACTCACGCGATCTTCTTGAAGACACTTCGCAATTTAAGAAATTGAAGAGTCCCTCTTAATTAATACAGCGAAAACTCCACCGCGCTGTATACTGTCGCTTCTTCTTGTCCTGTTTTTTTTTACCTCATTTTTATTTTCGTATTCGCTTAAAGTTTAATGAGATTTAACGCGAGTCAGATTGTAACTACAACGCGTATCGCACATGTATTCTGGGTGGATATGAATTTATATGCGCGTCTTCATTTTAACTATAAAAATATCCAAATTACAAGCGAGACAGGAAGAGTAACAGCCGGAAAAAGCCTGGAAAAATATAAACGCACGGAAAAACAGGTGGGTGGAGACAAATCACTCACTGACGCACCATTACCTTCGACATATGACTCGTCCTTCCTATTCTCGTTACAAGGAGAGCGGAGGTTCTCGCTTGAGCGTGGATGGTAACGCTGTTGTTAGAAACGAAGAAATATCGGTGCTCTATCTCAAAAGGGAATTTCCGTCTCTAGAGGAAGCTTATTCGCTCTCAAAGAATTTTATTAGCTTAATTGATAGATTCAGTTGTAACGTGTGTATATGTGTGCCTATGTGGAGAATTTTATAACAAAAATTGCTATAGAATTTTTACCAGTGAGGAATTGATCAACATTTGGTAGTAATTCTTTATCCTTTTATTTCATATATGCTGTTTTCCGAAAACTGAAATGTGCTGTTAAAAGATTTGCTGTGGTTTCAGCGAAATTTGCTGTTTCTTAACACCTCACACTGAGAGAAAAAATATCTGAAAAACTAAATATATTTGGTGGATACTAATAACATATTTACTTAAATCTAAATTCTTTTATTCAAATAGAATAAATAATTGCTTTTATGGAAAACTGAAATTTTAAGAAAATGTATATTTTCTTATTTGAAAATATTTTTGCTCATATCAGTGTAAGTATATATATATTAAAGTACAAGCACCCAGAAAAAATATAATCTTATTTTTAGAGGATATTCTCTTATATACGGCTTTTCAAGAGAAATTTTTTAAAATTAAAAGGGAGATATTCTGAGTTCAATATTTTTTAAGTTAGAGAAATCTTGACTTGTGTGAACTTGGCACACCATATTTAAAAATGTGACATTTTTTTTAGAGTTCTGATACTCTCTTGAAGAGTTCTAGAGCTCTATGCAACAATTTTAAATAATTCCGGTCATTAAATACAAAAAAATAGACTTTTAAAAAAAGGTGCGCTAAGTTCACGCAGCGCACCTAATCAGTAAAATCAACTATTTCTTTAGAGTTCCGGTTTGTTTTACAATAGTTCTAGAGTTCTATATCATATATAACAATAGTTCTACTAATTAAAAGCGAAAAGTCGATTTGCGAAGATCTAATTCACAAAATGTGAAATACCGACAACAAAATAAGAGAGATTAACACTATTTCGCGAGTTCTGCATATTTGCAAATATTTTCAACATTCACTTGTAATCAGGGAATGAAAATATAAAGAGTTTTATGCGATAGCAGAAATAATTTCTTCATAAAAAATTATAAAGTGTTCGAGATCGCGTAACTTTAGCAGCAGGAGGGGTGCGCAGCCGCACTTTGAGAGTTCCATTGGTTTAAAAATATTTTTAACGTTCACTTATGATCAGAAAACGAATGTCCAAAGAGTTCTGCGCGACAGCAGTAATAATTTATTTATAAAAAAT